ATATAATATACATAGGGTTGTTAAAAATATCAAAAATTAGCGTTTTGAAGACACCATGGTGTCTTATAATTTTCCCTTCCTTATTGGCGTGTAGAAATAAATGCGCCAATAGATTGAAGAAGAAGAATTGTTTTTCTCTGAATGAACTTTAAGCAAAACGGCTGTTTCAGTCATTAATTCTTAAAAATAAAAAGGGTAAAAACTAAATACAATGGGTAAAATTCAATAGTGTCTGTGCTATCGTTCAATTTGAATGTGTCTTTTGAAACCGCAAGACACATTGAATTTTTGAATAGTGTATTATGGTTTGACAGACACCAATGAAAAAAATAAAATGATATTTATTTTAAATATATAAGATCCTTATATAAAATATAAATATTTTATCGTTTTATTTTCTTGTTTTAGAAATGTTTTTTATTGAAAAATCAATAAAACTAACTCCAAAATAAAATTTTTGATTTAAAGACACTATGATGACACCAGGCAAATCTTCCAAGACACCTATCGTCGGGAATCTAACCACCCTAAATATACACATGTTCATGTAAAAACTTTTTTCCAAAATCCTCAGGAATTAAGGGATTTTAGGGCTGTACAAGATTTAAAAAAACATTGCCGGGTTACCGTAGAGGCCTAAAAAAATCGCGCCTCGGCGGCAAGCCGCCTCGGCATTAAGAATGCGCATCTAAATTTTTATATGTCCTTCTTTCTTTTATTTTTCCCTTCCCTTTCTTTTCTTTTTTTTTTTCCCTCCTCTTGCTCTCATTTACCTTTTTTTCCTTTTTCTCATCATTTTTCAAAATTTTAAATTTTTATCAAAAATCTTGCCTATAAAAGCAGACTATGGAACCTTTTAATGCCTCTTAATCAATATTATACAGCATAAAGCATATTAAATGAAAGTAATTACGTATAAATTTATTTTATTATCTTATTTATTAATTCTTTAGCATGTATTGTTTAATATTAACTTTTCTGTACATTAAATATGATATCTCCAAAGTATGAATGCCTTGTAACGAAACGAAAACTTAATTTTATGTTGAATATTTGTCACAAACATTAGATTATTAAATATATGTTGGATATCCCTTAGTATGAGACTTCATGACTCTTGTAGTCTAACGTGAGCTTTGGATTGCAAGCTCTGTGGTTAACGAACATAAATTAATTGTAAAGTTTTCAAAAATTTTCATCGTTTCTATCAGCATCTATTTTTCCTTTAAAATAATATATTTGTATGAATACACTATTTAGTAATTTTTTTATTTCCCATAATTTCATTCAAAATTTCAGAAAAAATTAATTTCTATTCAATATTATTTCAGCTTCAAAACACTTCATTCTTATAGATGTTGATTCACTAAAGTGTGATACTCAATGTCTTATTTCAATGAAAATTGTTCTGCAAATTTATTTCACTTTTGACCTCACTTTTTCCGTAATTCAATTTTTTACTTTTAATATTTTAGATCTTCATAATATCATTTGAAAAATTAACCATATAAAAAAATCAAGTTAACAATTCACTTTTTCCGTAATTCAAAAATCAAAAATATAAATAATATATCTTTTTATCAAATATTATTATTATATTCTATGAAAATGAGGTCCGGAAATTTTGCGGATTCCCGTAACTCAATTTTACGGAAAAAGTGCAGTAAACTATTCAAAATACGGAAAAATTGGTGTAAACTAATGATTTTACGGTAAAATCACGGAAAGTCCCGGAAGAATATATGTGCCTATATGAAATTATACAAAAATGAATCAAACGCATTTTAAAAGATTGTTCTTGTATTATAAATGCTATTCGCAGATTTATTCGTTGAAGAAAATTACCAAATTTTTGCCGATTTACAAAAAATGATTTACAAAGCATATTTTTATAAGGCTTTAAAAATCTTTAAAATGTGACCGGTGACGGAAATCCATGGTAACCAACCGCGGTTCCCGTTTGGAATGCCATAAGGGATTTTTGAATTTTAAGAATTTTTTTCGAATTTTTTCGAAAAAAAAATATTTTCAGAACAGCCTTAACGGCTAAGATTTAGGAACAATGTTAAGTATCAAAAAGAAAGGAGGTCTGATATAGACAACATATATCGTTGAAGGTTGAAAAAATCTCTAATATTTGAGCCCAAAATTTCAAATTTTAATTTTTTGAAAAAAGAGGCCACCCGTATGTACGTTTATTTGAGAGGAGGAGGATTATATTTTTGAAAGGGGAAAACATTATGAATATGTTAATTATATAATAACATGTATTATTATAAAAAAGAAAAAATAAAGCACGTTAAAATTTTTCTTTCTTGATTTTTTACAAAATCTACTTAGAATTATGCAAAATATGACTAAATAATTATAAATTTCAAGTTAAATTTTAATTTTGATAAATAATTTAAATTTCAAAATATCAAGTTCAGTTCGACTATGTATGTAGTAATTCCTCAATAAAGTGCCAAAACCCTATTAAAATATATGAACATTTTCAACATTTTAATGTTTTTATTTAAAAATTTGTTGGAATATGAGCTTCAAACAATTATTATGTAAATAAAAATAATTAAATATATGTATTTATTCGTATTACAACCGTAGTAAGTCGATTCTTCCTTTCTTCTACTGAGGTTTGAATTTGATTTCGAATTGTAAAGAGATTCAAAGGGAAAATACTAGCGGATAAAAACTACCTCCATGAAAGGGTCAGAATGGAGTCAAGTTGTATTTTTTGATATTTTTTGCTTTTCGAGCCTAAATAGGTAGCCAAGATAATGCCTAAAAATAAGGTTCTAAATTCTGAAGTTTACATGATCCTCTCGTGTGCACCCTTAATGCATTCTTGATGTGTCGCTGATTTTGTTATCCCCTTTATTAATTCAGTTTTATAAAATTTGAGAAGTTTCTGTTCCTATGAAATCTAATAACAAGAGTTCTATTGTGAATCTATTCTTACAGACAGTTATAGCTCACATTTCGTGAAGGTATGTTTTTGATGAAATATTATTTTTAAAACTATGAAAGAAAGTTAAATCACAACATTACACCAAAAAGAAAACTCTTATTGCATTTTGATGACATGAATGCAATAAACTCCTGAAGTGCAGATAATATCAGGAAATAGTCATGTAATTGAATCATTCTGCAAAAAAAAATGAACACATTTAAATTAAAAATATGAAACATTTATATAATATAGATATTACATTAAAGTGTCAAGCAATTCAAATTCAAGAAATGCATAATTTCTCTAATATTAAGATAAAAGTTTTTGAAAAATTGAATTTCAGATGTATAATTTGGGAATTGAATTCATTATCGAAAAATATATATTATGAATCTAAATATCATGAAAATCTTGATGAAATTATCAAAAGTAAAAAAAAGTAAAAGCAACAATGTTTCTCATTTTAATTGAAGAATCGAATGCTGAAATCTGTAAAAGTATATAATATGAGTCACAGTGCCCGTGATATTCGCTTCAAATATTATTATTGTTAATTTTTGGAGGAAATTATATATTTCGCTTGATATGAGTAGCTAAAAGGTCACAAATAAAGGACTGGTAAACGATTCCTGTGGAAAATATTTGTTTATAAACTTGGAAAAGAAGTAAAAATATTCGACTCTTTATCTTCTCAATTTTACGGTACACAAATCATGTGTACTCAAAAGGCAATAAATGTTTTTATTTTATGTTATCGTGCTCAATGTGTGTGTTCATATTTCCACGAAAAAATCTACGATCATTTTGAAAGAGCATTCAAAATTCAATCTAAAGTACTCACAAAATCTAGATTGAGAGGCGGTCAATGACTTTTGAGGGGAAATTAACGCATGGAATTTAATATTATTTAAGTTGATATTCTTGTTTATTATTTCAGAAAAAAGTCTTAAAAATTTCAATATGAAAATTGAAAGCCATTCAAAAAAAATTGCTAACATGTAAATTTTAATATCCTATGCAGAATTTAATATTTTGAACATTTTTTATTTTTGTTTAAAACTTAAAATTTTGCGAATTTAATATAATTTATAAAATATAATACGTATATATATTTAAAATACACTAAATTTAATTGTTAATTGACGTTTTTGGGAATGAATTTTATCAAAACATGCCTGAATCCGAAAATTTGAAAGAACGAATTACACAATCATATATGTAGAATTCAAAATACAAACTTAAAGATTGTATACGTTTAAAATTATTCAGATTGTGTTTGATTTCCACTCATTCTGTTTCTTTTGAACTCTAACACTAACATTTCATGATTATTACATGATCCATTTATACATGGTTGAATTGTTCCAGATTCTACCAAAAAATCAATCCAAATTTCTCAATGCATTCATGTTGATTGGACAAAATTTAAAATTTATCAGCATGTTTCCAGAGAAACTCATATATTCCCTAATGAAATGTAATTTTTGCTACATTTATTTCAATCAAATTTCAAAAAATTGACTGCAGAGCTTGAAAAGGTGATGAATCATGTTGTTATTAGATGTACATATTAGATTTACTATTTCCAAAAAATGCTCAAATTTGAATAGTTTTTAGAAAATTTGGAATTACACTCCTTACATTATATATAATTAAATGTTTAAATTTTATTTATTTTTCCCTTTTAATTTTATAACGTGCTCTATCAAAACTAACCTCTCAATTGAAGGCCACAAAATCTAAGTAGTGAGGGTACACAAATTTTGTATGGAGTACGGTTCAATTTTTGAGAGCCTCACTACTTAGATTTTGTGACTACCTTATATATAATTATTTAGTCAATTATATTATGAGATTTGATTAAGTGTAAGTAAAGTCTATTCATTTACTTATTGAATAAATTTCAATGAAATAAAAACTTATTGAATTGTTTGATAAATAATTGTTATTGTTTGAATTTCTGATATATAAAAGTTAAAAAAAATGCTAATTATAAAGATAGAATGAATATAATTTATTTTCAATTATATATACTATTTGAACAATTAAATTAAACAATGAACAATTGTTGGAATTCGAGATCTATTAAGTCATATACATTATCAAATTCTGAGACCATTGTATCAGCAATTCTATTAAATTCTTCATTTTGCTTTTTAACTTTAACTTTTTCTCTCCTTAAGCCTTTTAACGTTTTTCCGTGTCTTAAAAGTAATTTGAATCTTGCCTTAATGCTAACGTCACTCCTTCCTTTCATGATTTTGGAAATGTTAATCCATTGGCGTCCAAGCTGATTATACAATGTGAGAATTTGTATGTCTTCATCAATGGTGAATGGTGTCTGCTTTAAATCATCACTAAGATACTTTTCATATCTTTCTCTGCATTGTCTAACGTTCTTTCCTTCCATTAGAGAGGCAATAAGATTCCAATCTTTGCCATGCTCATTTACAAGTTCCTTAAGCTTATTGTCCTCCATTTCTGAGAACTTATTACGCCTCTGATGGATATTATACATCAATAAAAATGATTATTTCAATTGGATAATTTGAAAAGAAATATCACGATATATGCAATATAATATAACATTTAAAAGTAGATATTATTATCAACGGAGAACTTGATGACCACGAAATCATTGAATTCCATCCAATTCAATTTTCTGACGGTGAATTGAAATTTTTGAAAGGGAATGTTTAAAACTGACACAGCTCGATAATTAAATACTTCTTAATATAAATTTTTACAAAAAAACAATAGATATTAAAGCAGATTACCTTAATCCTTCTAAAGAGATTATCATTTACATTCAATTTCATGAAAAGTGCTAATTTTGTGATGTTAAACGATTATAATTCAATAAAATAATTGAAAATTGTTCGACATGTATTCCACACATATCGCGTTTATTTTATAGCAGTCCATTACGTAATGAATTGTTATTTTATTTAGTGTAAAATGTTTGTTTTCCTTTGAATTTTAAAACCATTTGATTCTATTAACGTAGAATGCCTATTGTAATAAACAGAAATTCATCAAAAGTGACAGCTCTCAATTTTTTGACATTTGTAAATTCTAAATTGAATGAGAAAAATGAAATAATACTAAGCATAATACAATATTCTAGATTTAATTATAATTAGGAAAAAGTTAGTTTTGAGAGTACTTTTCATAGGCATATAGAATGAAATCTTCTGAAAAATAATATCACATAAACTCATATTATTTTCTAATATATAACTATTTTATATAAAAATCAAATTTAATGATCTTAAAAGCGAAGGATAAACCTCAAATTTACGAATATAATGAGTGGGAATATAATGCTTATCTATCATAAAACCATATGAAATATTCCACTCATTATATTCGTAAATTTTGAGGTTTATCCTTCGCTTTTAAGATCATTGAATTTGATTTTTATATAAAATAGTTATATATTAGAAAATAATATGAGTTTATGTGATATTATTTTTCAGAAGATTTTGTGTTCTTCTTCAAAATTTTATTTTTTATTAAAAAGAATCTTTACAAAATATACATTTACTTTAATTAATATTTAAAAACGTGCTCTATCAAAAGTTCCAAAAATTCAATATTTTAGCTTTTCTGAGGTGTCACTTTTGATGAATTTCTGTTTACAACACTATTATTATTAGATTATAACAATTTGTCTCAAAAGTATTTTTAGCAAAATTTTCAAACTCTATAAACAGAGAGTCCTATGGCTGTGTCATACATGGCATGGGTATATAGTATAATTGATGTAAATATCTAAATTGTGGTAAATCTGAGCGTGATCTCTCTGAATTTGTCAAACCTTGAATTGAAAGGAAAATTCTCGCTTTCAATTTTCTAATAAACCTAAATTATATCATTACTTATATTTGTATTAAATTTATTTAAACATAATTTAGTTTGGTATTGAGAATTCAAGGAGATTTGTTATTAATATGATGATGCCTTTAGTTTTAAGGTAGGAAACAGACTGGAAATATGATGATTATAAGTACAATAAAATGACCAATATACACTTGTAATTGTCTTTATTAAAATTGTCCTGGGTCCTATTTCGTCCCCCAAGTTGACAAAAATTGAGGTGCTTTGTTTGATGGTTTCGGCGACTATTTGTAAAGTGTCAAAATAATTATTGCTGAATAAAGTTCAAATAATAGATATATCATTCAGTTAATACTTAAAATATATATTTCTGGTTTTTATTGGGATTTCCTGCATTTTCAAAGATTTGAAATAAAATTTTTCTTTAATTTTAGCTTGTTATTGTATATTTGATTTTAAGCATATCGTTACTGGATTTTAATTCAAAATATGATGTGGAAATCATAATAGAACTGATGGTTTGAGAGGAAATTGAATGGATATCAATGAATTGTAAATCTTTCAATATTCAATTTGTAACGATAAGGCTAAATAATTCAATTTTAAAGATGTTCTCACTTGGTATTGACATTGGAACATCCAAAATAGCAATAGCGGTAGTTGACGTCAACTCAAAGATAACAACTTATGTTGATTCAAAGGCTCATGACGCTAACATTCACATCAAACCTGGTTTTAGTGAACAATCTGTTGACAAAATCTTTGAAACCACAGATAATCTAATATCTAATATCCCAATAGAAATAAAGCAAAAAATTGGGTATATTGGCATCACTGGACAGATGCATGGTGTTGTTGTTTCCCGCAAAAATAATAAAACTGACAATCTGATCAACTGGGAAGATAGAAGAGGCTCGGTCACAGGAAAACTTAAGCTAATTAATGCAATCAAAGGTTGTGAGAAGCTCAAAGATGGCTTTGGAATGACAACCTTGGCGCAATTAGACTTAAGTGATGCAGAGCATTGTGCCACAATTCATGATTTGTATGCATCATATCTCACAGGACTCAGATCTGTGACAGATCCAACAGATGCCGCATCTTGGGGATTATTTGATATTTTCACAAACAAATGGAACGAAGAAGCCATTAAATCATTAAATATTCCTCAAAATATCCTTCCAGAAGTTGTTAAATGCGGTTCATTTGTAGGAAAAATTAAACCAGACATTGCCGAGAAATTTGATTTAAACAAAGATGTTGAAGTTTATGCTGCACTTGGTGACAATCAAGCTAGTATCTCAGGTACATCTCTTGAGCGCGATCAGGATATCTATATCACAATTGGCACCGGAATGCAATTATCTTTAATTGCAAATAATGAAATTGCCAAAGAATTAATCAATTCAAACAAAATTGAAGTCAGACCTTTCCTTAAGGGCCAGTTTTTGGCTGTTTCTGCTCCTTTGTTAGGTGGCGAAGCTTGGAAATCTTTAGCACTTTTTGTTGATGGATTGATTGAAAATGTCACCGGAACTAAGATGAATATTGATGATGTGTACAAGAAGATTGATGAGCTTGGTCTTGCTGAGTTTGACTCTGACGATCTTCCTGATTTTGAACCGTATTTTATTGGAGAAAGATGGGATACTTCTCTCAGAGGTGTTCTTTCGAATTTAACTCTTTCCAATTTCAAGATTGGAAAGATTAGTGCAGCACTTGCAAAGGGTATTGCAAAAACATTAAGAGGTGATATTACACAAGAAATGCTAGCTTCAAAATCAAGAATTGTTGCGTCTGGAAATGCCTTACGAAAGTCAAAGCTTTTGACGCTCGCAATCACAAAAGAGTTTGAAAAAGAGGTTATTTTTAGTGAAGCAAAGGAAGAAGCTGCTAGAGGTGCAGCTATTTTCTTCTTATAAAAGATATACAAATTATTTGAAATTTTTCATATTTAATCTGTTCTACACAAGTTATTTTCGAGTTTTATGAATGAAAATTATGTATTTAAAATGGTCCAACTTCCAATAACTTAACAGATTTGTTTGCAAATGAAGCTGAAAAGTTCAGATCCGCATGATTCTAGTATAAAATATTAATACAAAAGTATAAAAAGTATTTTTCTGTTGTATGATACAATGAAAAATTGAGTTGAAAAAATTTACCATGACGAATGAAAATGTTGTCATATAGTTCATTATCGCCAAAATAAGCATTCATTGTATCATATTTAGATTGAAAATTGACTCACCCACTACAGCACTAAGCCGTACCTTCTTTCTAATGTCTGGTGAACCAATTGTAAACCTTTTGAGAAGATTTTGAAAAAAAATTCAAAGAAAATTTCATTTCAAGGTTTAAACTCAAATTTGAATCTAAGACATATCCTTTATCAACAATTCTACAAACAACTATTGCTAACCTTCAAGAAGAAATCAAATTGATCACTGATGTCATGCCAAGCAGACAAAAAATTACGTATGGATTTCCTCAAAAAGAAATTCCAACGGATGCAGCATCATTAAATAAAACTTTAGAACAGATAGGCATTAGATCTAGAGAAATGCTAAATCTAACAGTGAAGGAATTACATCCAACAAAACAAATTCATACTACATCCATTTATGCTTGCGAAAAAGTTGAAATACCAGCAGATAACTCTTGCTTATTTGCTTCTATTAGCTACCTGTGCACAGGATCAACTAGTCACGCTACAGAAGATAGATTTCACTGCGTAAGTGTCATTAAGAATAATCCTACCAAGTATACTGAAGCTACATTAGTTTCTCCTAATAAAGAATATTGTGCTTGGCTGAGCGATATGAGGCATTGGGGCGGATATATCGAGATGGAAATTTTATCCGAAAAATACAATGTAGAAATATGTGTTCTTCAGGTAGAAAATAATTTAATTGTGCCAATTAATGGTGCTCAATCTAAAAAGAGGATATATCTCTTGTATGATAACATTCATTACGATGCATTAGTGTTTAAGGCACATACACCACCAGAAGTTAGAAAGATTGTTGATGCCAGTGATGAAGAAGCTACAATTCAGGCAAAAGAATTGATGAATATTGCTAGAGCAGCTGGAGGCTATACAAACGTGAAAACAATGACATATAAATGCACAATATGCAATAAAATATTGAACGGCTCAAAAGAAGCTCACGACCATTCTGCAAAAACAAATCATATGGATTATGTTCAAATTCAAAATCTCTAAGTAAAATATGTTTTTATTATTAACTAAAAATTATAAAATCTTTTATTTAGCTCACTGAACTTAAATCACTTTCAATATATATAAAAATATCGAGCTGAATTGATAAATTCACGCCTTTTAATGTTATAAATATTGGTTTCCTCAGGTATTTGATAACAACTTTTTACAAATCAAAGTTAAATCATTGAAAATTAATCAAACATTATGCATATTATGTACTAAGAGAAGTAATTGATTAAAAATAATGAATCCATCAATACTTATGATAATTGGCTATCACAAATGCATGTTAAATCAGAAATTTAAATCAAAAATTTAATACAATTGATTTTTACTCTTAAAGGCAACTAGGAAATGCATAAAAATAATAAATCATATGATAAAATGTCAAAATTTTTATTAACAAAACAAAATACGAAAATATATTTAAGGCTCTTCCGGTTTTTCATCGGATGATGAAGAAGATGTCGATGAATCATTCTTCTTTGCCTTATTATTTCTCTTTCTAAAGAAAACAAACCAAATTGTCACAGCAAGTGCAGTAAATGCGACAACAAGAGCGCAAACAACGCCAGCAACTATTCCCACGGGGAATTTACCTGGTTCTGTTGGTTGTGGAGTGTGAGAAACATGAGAATTATTTGGAAGATCAATTTGTTTCAAATCAGAGAGTAAAAGAACACCTCCTTTATCAGGAATGATGCCTTCGAATATAGGGAAGAATGAATCATTAGATTCTGATGCTGTCTTTCCCATACTATATGAAAATTCAAAATGAGAAATGGTATTAATGTAAGGAGTCAAAGAAAACATTGAAGGGCTTGTGAAATTAACTTCCTTTTGTGTTACATTCTCTTCACTGCGATGATGTTTCTGTGTAAACAAAACTTTATTTGTTGAAGAGAAATTTCCGAAAAGTTTCGCCTTTGAGAAGAAATGTAGTGTAACTTCTGTATAGTTTCCTGTTGATTCATCACTAGACATGTCTCCTATAAGCAATCCTTCAGTTTTTGTCGAAATATAACTTATCATTGTCTGAAAACCATCTCCGTTTTGATAAGTATTAGTTCCTTTGATGAAAGCATACTCTATATGGCATGTTTCATCAGGATTCTTACAATAAATCTTTGAATAAAGATTTTTATCATAAGAATTTTCGTTGTTGATGATGAAAGGATTCTCTATACCTGTCTTATCAATGTACTTATCCTCTGAGAACAAATATGTCTTTGTATCAACTAACAATGAAGTATTAGTTGCAATAACTAAATTTGACAGTGATTTGACACAATTTCCTGGTTGTATTTCCCTTGTAAATATCACATTGTAGTCATACGCTTGTGAATCGAGGTCTTCACACTCTCCAAATATATCAGTATCATCAGTATCGTTATTATCACTTTCTACTGATGGCTGCTCACTCACAAGATCACTCAGATATAGTTGTCCGTCAGTGAATGGTATGAAACCTTTCATTTCTATGAAATTTATCTGATTTTGATCAGAAATTGTTCCTTTTGATGAATATCTGATTGAAAATCCAATATTTATGTTCTCTTCTCCACCATCTATTTTCAATCCATATGGTTCTGTGATTGTCAGCTCTTGGGAAACTGTATTTTGATAATTTACTCCGTCATTTGTAAGGGAAGTAATGGTACTTGACGAGTCTGCACTAAATGATAGTAGTAGCTCCTGTTTTGGAAGAAAATATGCATAAACTTTATCAAAATTGTTATCATCAATTGAAATATGGTGGCCTTCGAGTTTATCATCGTAATTTGTGGTAATATAACTTACATAATCATAATTCACGTAATTGTCATCATCCTTTACTTGAATTGAGCCTTTAATTTGGGCAATTCGAATATTGCAATTAGATTCTGAATTGTGGCAAGTGATTTTATAGTGAATTGTTTTTGACGTTGGGTTAATGTTATTTAAAACGATTGGATTAGGAACAGGGTCATTTTCAATTGGATCATTTCCTTGTTGAACAATTGTATATTCAACATCATAATCTGTGTCACCTGCTAATATAGCATTTGAATCCGTCTTGAGGCAACCTCCTGCTGGAATTTCAATATTTTGAATTGTAAAAAGATCTGAAGTTTCGGGCTTCTGTATTTCTGTGCATTCGGAATAAGGGACTGAGTTTTCTTCACGAGAAAGCTTGTAAGAACTAATTCTGAAGAAAAACAAAGTTAGCATTATTTCAATTTGTATTTTCAATATGATTTTTGAATACTGCATAACTTCGATAAATAAATGGTAGTTTAAAACACATATTTGCTATATAACAAATTATTGCGAAGTGAAGCCACATTGAAAAAATATTCAGAACTGCGAATCAACAATTTCTAATTTGATTATTCTTATGTGAAAAGAAATATGTATTTTTTGATAGAATGGCATTTTTGTAAAGTTCAGAATTCAAAAATATATTCAAAAGCTGTTCGTCTAAAATGTTTGGTATTGAATCATGGAACTAGATATATAATTTCTTCGCTCTTTAGGAGTAAATTCAAATTTGAATGCTTTACACTGTCATTGCGGGGTATTTTTCGATCCCCAAAAAGGATTAAATTAATAATCCCGAGTTAAAATAATAAATATTGAACCTATTTTAGTTGTCTTTTCTCATTTAGTTTAATGAGCTAGCTTTTCAATTAATTTTTCATTTTATGATTTTAATAAATGATTGTGAAAAGTGCATAGATTGCAGATTTAAAGTAATTGATTAACTTATGCAAGTGAAATTATACATAATTTCATATCACATCAGATTCGACCAAAGTTTAAATGTTAAGAATATCTAACTGTTCATATATCAGGATCAATAATCTTAAGATTGATTTAAAGCAAATATTCTTTAAAATTATGCATATAATGAGTTTTTTAAAATACACAATTCAATCATCTTTTTTTAATAAATAATATCACCGATAGGCAAACAATACAAATAAAGAGTAAAATGATGGATGTGATGAGTACAATTACTAAATTTGAAGTCACTTTCAAGTTGAAAAATGGAAGTGATGAATTTATATATGGAAATTCATAAGTTTGATAAGTTTCAATAGGTTGAATGGAATGAAAATCAGGGTTTGATTCAAAAGCATCTTCTGGAATAATATAAGTTGAATAGTCTGAATTTAACTTTGTATATCTATTCTCAAAATCCTTTTCCATCGTAACAGTAATTGATTGTTCGATATAATGTAAAGGATTGATTTCAAGATTTAATCTTGCATCTTCTACAACTAGATTAATCAATTTTATTGAGCAATGATCATTAAGGCTTTCAACTCCTTTAATTTCATCTGATACTATATTTCTTTGACGACCAAATGTGAATAGAACTAAACTTGCTCGATTCATGAAACAGTTTTGATATGTATGAAATAATGGATGACCAGCTGGGTGAAACTGAAAGCTAATGTCAAAGCAATTATAAAATGCGTTTGGATCAATTGTAACCATTGAATTTGGTATATAAACATTGCCTAATTTTGTGTTTGCAAATGAACGATCTCCAAGATAAAAAATTTTTTCATTAAATTGTAAACTCCTCAGATTTAAACAATTTGAAAAAGCCTCTGATTCAATTATTTCTAAGTTATCTGGACATACAACTTCCTTAATATTTGAATGATTAAAGGCACCACTAGAAATTTTTATTAAACTATTGCATCCTGTTATATTCATTTCTTCAACATTTGAATCTAAAAACAGAGATTCTCTTATTAATGTGACTCTTGCCATATTAACACTCGTAAGATTTGTGCAACCTCTAAAGCAACTTATTCCAACATCTTCTAAATCATACGAAAATGTTAATGATCTAAGTGTCTTACAATTCTGAAAACAACTTGGTCCTAAATAACTTATTACACAATCATTTGGAATGACAATTTTTTCTAAAGCAACACAATTCTTAAATGTGTTTTCTTCGAATTTGTTGACTTGGCAAGTGAATTCAATAGTTTTTATATACTTTGATTCTCTAAATATTTCAGGTTGATAAATATGCGAAATTATTTTTTCAAGGTTTTTTGCAAAGGTGAAAGCATATTTTTCCACATATTCTACTGATGATGGAATTGTGAATTCATTTTGTGTATTTGCGGAAGCATATGCATATAGTTTTTTATAATCAGAGCTGTATAACACTCCATTTTCAAATCTTAAACTATCATTGTGAGTTTCAATTTCTCTTAGATTTGGCATTTCACACTGATATAAATTAAATGTGAAACTATCCAATTCATCGCTTAATATTATTTTTTCAAGGAAAGGAAGTTGAATTAAATACTTTGTATTACTCATATAATCATTATTTTCAAATTCTTCTTGATTTATCCAATATGCCTCTGCATCAGAGAAGATAACTGAAACATACCACATTACATTTTGTCCATAAATATAGTGAAAGTATTCGGTTTTATTATATACTCTCGATATATATAGTTCTTTTATATGTGAATTATTGAATGAATTGATGCAAAAATCGATACCCCTTGTATTTATGTTTTCTACTTTTGTATTTTCAAATGCTCTCTTTCCTATAGATTTAATACTATTTGGCAATACAACCTCTGTCAAACTAATGCAGTCTTTGAATTGATAACTATAAATTCTTTCAATTCCTTCTGCAAATACCACATTTTTTAGCTTTTTGCAATCATAAAATGTTGTAAAATCATCACTTATAAATATATTCATTTCTGTTATATATGTATGATCCAAAACACCTCTGAATGTCATAATTTCACTCTCAATTGAATAAGCTGAAATATTTTCATTCCATATACTTATATCTATCTTATAACATAATTGAAATATTTGTTGGCCCACACTCATTGGATGATCTGCCCAACCTATCACGTTTGTTAAATTTGGGCAATAAAAAAAAGAATTTTCTGCTATGTACTGGCAATCAGATAAATCAACTTCTTCAAGAGATATTAGATTGTTTGCACAATATAAATTGATAAAGCCACGATGAAGTGTTCTAATATTTGGGCAATCTGAAATTGAAATTCCTTCTGTTCCATATGGATATTGAAGTTCTTCAATGTTCATATTGCGTATACTAATTGAATATACCATTGCATTGAATATAACTGTCCTTACAGTTTCTATGTTAAAATCGAATTCGATATAGCTTTTGGAAACAATTTTTTTAATCGGCGATCCGGCCAGATATGAAAGTCTGATATTTTGTACATTTTCTCCGAATTCAACTTCTGTTAAATTTGTGTAACAAAGTGAAAATGATCCTATTTCAGATACATTATTTGAATTCTTTATTTCACACAAAGATTTGCATTTATAAAATGCATAAGATCCAATGATTTTATATATTTCAGCAACTTTCAAATGGCAACATTTCATACATGCAAAATCTGACACTTTTGTTAAAGAAGCAGGAAAGTGGATCTCTCTGATAGCAGAATTTGCAAAGCAATATGGTTCGATAGAATTTAAACTGCCAAAATTAACTGTTTTAAGCTTTTTACACTTAGAAAATGCAAAATATCCAATGGAAATGATATTTTCAAGATTGATATCAGAAATAGAGCTATTAAAAAAAGAAAAATTGCCAATATATTTGATGTTATCACACAACTTGACGCTAGTTATATTATTATTGTTCATGAAAAGGTTCTTTGTAATTTCTTTTATTTTTTCTGCATTGATTTCGATGTTCCTGGCATAGGTTAGACCAGGAAAATTTGGAATATTTTCTAATCCGCCCTTAATTATGACTTTTCGATCAGGATTTTTTTGTATTAAAATTGAGATTTCATTTAAGTTGCAATTTTCATCTATAATGATGAATGAGTTACTATTTTCCTCTGATGAAATATAAATATGATTAGTTAATAATGCATGGATTAAAAAATGACTGTTCATTTTAAAATGTGAGACCAAATTGTGAAACCATATTGAAATTGTTTTCACAGAATTCTCAAATAAAATTATAATTTCTGACTGATGCTGTGTTATGTTTATTACTAGGAAGAAGAAATATATTATATTTTTTAGAGTTTTTCGATATAATGTCCTATGATTCAAAATTATGCACATGTCAGATATAAGATCTAGTGTAATTTCTTTATTCAATTTTTAATTGAGATGGTGTAACAAAAATTGAATATTCTTTCATAAATTAATTACATCGAAACAACGATTTAGAATTCAATATATTTCAAGCTGATTAATTAAGTAAAAATCCGTAAGTCTGATAATGACAGTTTGTGAACTTTGATCAGATTATGATTTTTCTTGAAATAATTACTCACTGAGTTTTTTTAATGCAAAAATAATCAGTTGAAATTAGCTATAACAGTATTTATTTGAAATAAAGAAGAATGGTGAATATATGCTGGTATGATCCATATATGTTTAATTCATAGTCAACATGAATGTGTTCATGAATTGATTGAATTCGATGTAAAATTAATGCATATTACACAATTTAACCCTATTTCTGAATAAATAGTGTTTAATTCCAATTATCTTAATTTCAATATGCAGTATTGAATGGGAAATGTTTTGTAAGAATTGAAATAATTCCTAATGAAATCTCATTAATAACTAGATTGAATTCATTTAAACTTAATATAGATTTTTTGTGAATTTTTAATATTATAAAAAATGTTCCAGACAATAATTCTCAAGGTATTCATTCATAAGAATGTTGTATTACAAAATGAACCATCTAAACATGGATCAACATTACTATTTACATCTTCTGAAGATTTGGAACAAGCTGAAAGTATTCGTGATTTAATTAACAGTGAAAACATTGATACAATTAATATAACAGGCGATACAATAAAAGAAATTCCAACAACATATCCAAATTATTTTCTTTATGTACAATATATTAATATTGACGCATCCAAAGTGGAAGAAATTCCTAATTACTTCTGCGAAAGCAGTTTAAAATTGAAGGAAATAAATATTCATCAAGGAGTTAGATACATTAATTCAAGGGCATTCTACTATTCTACATTGGAAAAAATCAATTTGTTGAATGTCGAATTTATAAGTTCTGATGCATTTACCCATTGTCATCAATTAAAAGATCTCACAATATCTAAACTATCATTTATTTATTCATTTGAATATTCATGTATTATCAATTTGAATCTAACTTCTGAGTATGATGTCGTTACATTCTTAGCGCATTTACCATATCTCGAAAGCATTTACATCAAATCTTGTCGATTTCTTGGAAAATTTGCAAATTGCGCGAATTTGAAATTAACTATAATTGAAGATCAATCAAAATTGATTACCCCAAGTTTGAATTTAGATCTTTCTACACTGAACAAAATTGACAGTTATGCCTTTCAATATTCAAAAATAAAAGATGTTACATTTGATGCATGTGATCAAAAAAAAAAAAAAAAAAAAAAAAAAGGGTAGTGGGGCTTCCAGGCACTTCGTGCCTTCTAGCCCTGAGGATGATTGGTATAATGAAGTTTTTTTTTCTTGGGGTGTCCTTCCAGGCACTTCGTGCCTTCTAGCCCACATAAATGAAGTTTTTATTCGGAGGTCTTCCAGGAGCTTTTCACAAATTATATATGTTTTCATGTTTTGTCAAGACTTCTTCGTAAATGTTTTGTCAAGACTTCTTCGTAAATGTTTTGTCAAGACTTCTTCGTAAATGTTTTGTCAAGACTTCTTCGTAAATGTTTTGTCAAGACTTCTTCGTAAAATCAGACAAAAATATATTTTAGGGTAGAAGGGTATATCTAACCTCTTTTCTAACCTCTTTTCTACCCTCTTGAATTTTCATGAAATTTACACCAAAAATATATTTTAGGGTAGAAGGGTATATCTAACCTCTTTTCTAACCTCTTTTCTACCCTCTTGAATTTTCATGAAATTTACACCAAAAATATATTTTAGGGTAGAAGGGTATATCTAACCTCTTTTCTAACCTCTTTTCTACCCTCTTGAATTTTCATGAAATTTACACCAAAAATATACTATAGGGTGTCCAAAGGTGTGTTTAGCACAAACCTGAATACTGCGAATAGAAATAAACAAGTTACATATATATAAAGATTATTTAAATATAATCACCATTGGATTCAATCACGCGTTCGCAGCGATCGATCCAGGCTTGAAAGACACGCTTTAAATCATCATGAGAAAATTGCTCAAATTGCTCTCTTACAAAATTTTCAAGATCATCTGGACTCGCGAATTCGCGTCCTTCAGCTCTCTTTTTTAGCGTGCCGAATAAATAAAAGTCAGAGGGTGCAATATCAGGTGAATAAATTGGGTTTGGAACAACTTTGACATTGTTTTCCAACAAGTAATTCATTACCTTATGACTTTTGTGAACTCTTGAATTATCAAAATGAATTGCAAACTTTTGTTTTTGTTGTTTGGATTTCTCAAACTCATCAGAATTGATAATTTGAGTAAGAACATTGTCAATTAGATACTGAGCATTCATCATATTAGGTTTTTGAAGAATATCAATTGCGATGATGACATTCACGCCCCAAAAAACCGACAACATCATCATTGGTGTGTCAATTTTTTTCTTCGGGAATGTTTGCGGATTTTCATCCTTCGGGATCCACATGATTTTGGCTTCTGTTGCATATTGAAACCAAGACTCGTCCCCTGTTACTAAAAAGCGAAACTTCTTGGATTGATACGCACCCAATATAGAGAGGAGCTCTTTCGAAGATTGGACTCTAGATTTTTTTTGAACTGAATTAAGGTTGTGCGGAACCCAACGTGTATACGCTAGTTTGTAGTTCAAATAATTGTGCAGATAATAACTGACTGTTGTACGTGGTATCTTTGTCATCTCCTCTATCCTTCTGAGTGATGCTCTTGGGTCTTCATCTAGCGCTTGAAGAATTGCTTTGATTTTTCTTTGATCCGGCGATTTTTTGTCAATTTTTATGATGGCGCCTTTTTGTTCATGAAGTGATACATCCTAACATGATACGTTACAGTGGAATAGCTAGGAGCATCCATACCGAAGCATTTTACCAATGTCTCGTAGATTTTTTTACAGTCTTTGCATTTTTTTGCAAGAGCGAGGATGTTTTCTTTATGATTCATTAAAAAAATGAAAAAAATCCCGCCAAAATTTCCCGCGAAACCGCCTCTTGTCTCAAAATTCATTTTATATACCGGCATGGCGCCAAAATACAACATACTCATCATATACATATATTCATATTTTTTATTATATATTTATAATCAGCATATATCTCCTTTAATAGTCTCATATAGAGCGCTGTGCTAAACGCACCTTTGGACACCCTATACTAGGGTCATTTACGAAGAAATCTCAACAAAGTCTTTACGATGAAGTCTTGACAAAGTCTTTACGAAGAAGTCTCAACAAAGTCTTTACGAAGAAGTCTTAACAAAGTCTTTACGAAGAAATTCATGAAAATTCAAGAGGGTAGAAAAGAGGTTAGAAAAGAGGTTAGATATACCCTTCTACCCTAAAATATATTTTTGGGTCATTTACGAAGAAGTCTTAACAAAGTCTTTACGAAGAAGTCTCAACAAAGTCTTTACGAAGAAATTCATGAAAATTCAAGAGGGTAGAAAAGAGGTTAGAAAAGAGGTTAGATATACCCTTCTACCCTAAAATATATTTTTGGGTCATTTACACTCATTTACGAAGAAATCTCAACAAAGTCTTTACGAAGAAGTCACAATAAAACATCTGTCAAAAACCGCTTTTTAACTTCACTTAAAATGCCACGTAAGCTACGTAAGAATATACGTAAGAGGAAGAGAGCATTGAAACATCCAATAGTAAAACTGACACCACAACAACAGTTGCAACAACAAATGCTGAATGACCCCACTATGTTGCAACAAATGTCAAGCAATCCTATGCTTTTAAACCGAGTTGTTGGTGCACAGAGTGGAGGTTTAAGAGCGGCACTTTTAGCGAAAATGGCAGGCTATGGTGGAGCTGCAGACGGAACAGCCTATAACCCTCAAAGTCAAATGAATTTGAGTTCACTCAAAAATCAAATAACAGATGTCAAAAAGTCAAACATAGACATACAGAAGCAAATAAGTGAAAACGAAAAGAAACTAGAATATGACAGACACACAAAGAAACTAAATGAGTTAAACGTAGAGAAAAAGAAGAAAGAAGAACAACTGAAAGAACTAAGTACAGAGGAATATGCAAAAAAAGTGTCAGAAAAAGCAGCAGAAGTAGCAAAAATGGAACAAGATGTCATAAATTTGAAAAACCATACTACTCAATATAAAATACTGAAAGATGAAGAGATAAAACAAAAAGCCCTGAAGACATATATGGATAGCGATGAGTATAAAAAAGAAGTTGAAGCAAATGTAAAGGCAGAAAAACTTTTACAGTTGCAAAACCAAACCGTACAGTATGAAAACTTAGCACAAGAAAGTAAAAATAACGACGCGGCTATGCAAAAGGCAATGAAAAGCGCAGAATATATAAAAGCTAACAATGACTGGTTAGATGCCCAAGCCAACGCTAAAGCAGCCCAACTCATAGGGTCAATAAGGACAAAAATACAAGCGGATGAAGACAGTTCAAATGAAGCTTTAATGAATGCTGACTTTAAGAACGCCTTCGAAGCTCTTCATAGTAAGGTGAAACAAGTGAACGACTTCTCATCTGGAAAGAAACTGAAGTCTGAAGGTTTCGACAAAGAGTTAAGAGAAGTAGCACAAAATATGACGAAAATAACAGATGCAGCAACGAGACAGGCAGTTCAAAGTGCCTATGACTCCGTTAGAGCAACTGTTGTGGAAAGTCAAGAAAAAGAGTTACAACAGACCAAAAAAGACCTAGTAAATGCTTTCTTAAGAACGAAAAGTCAGGTAGGACATTACGCTGCAGATGGAACATATGTGCCAGCTGG